CCCCCCCCCCCCTCTCCTCCATTACTCCCCATGATAAATAATGACCGGCTCCTAAGTTATAAAGTCCGATCGCTTCAAATACCGCCAATGATTGTAAGATGTCCTCGTTCACTCTTAGTCCTCGATGAAAAATTAAGCTTAATTTCTTCTCTCAAGTCCGTCTTAGCAATTTTCTTAATGTATCTGGAGAGTCATTTACCAATTGTATTGAAGATCTTTCTCACAGTTCCGGTTGCAAGATGATGCTTGCGAAGATAATCAGCTATTTGACCACCAAGGATTAACATCATCAGTGTGACCACGTAAGGTAAGGACGATGCAGTCCAAGTCTGATAGAGAAAAACAGAAAAGATCATTCGTATTGTGGACCCCGGGATGAGGTGGGACAGAGGGGTGGTAGCCACAGTCCCTGGGATTTTTCGGACGATTTGTTTAGGAGGATTTTCGCTCAAAACCAGCCATTGACTGTAGCAAAGCATACTGTTTTTTTTTAATGACAATTTAGACAAAACTTGGTCTACAGGTTTGAGACTGGGAGATAATCATAGAGAATTGAGGTATCGTTTCGCATTTCTTTGAGAAACTTTCTGGGGCATATAACATACTATGAAATAAAACAGTGATCAATGATTGTCGACCAACATAACCAAAGTAATCACAACCACCAGTCAAAAAAAAAAGGTCAACATCATCACGATCCAATGAGAAATCAAAAACATGCAACCTGGTGGAAGCGAGTTTTCTAGACCAATCACAGAGCGAAATAAAGCAAAACTGAAGCAATCTAGGATCCTTTTTGACACTCAATTGAAAACTGCTCTGTGAGAATTTGTTAAATATAAGATAAATTCTAAGGCACATATGTTAAATCTAAGCATGTCCAAGATTCAAAGTTATAAAATGAGTAATTCAACATAAAATAGGATGTCAAGTTTTAATATCTATGCCCTGTAGCTGGCACTGCCCAGAGAATCCCGTTACTCGAGAGATTGAGGGCATTGTTAATTGGCTCGGGCCTTACCTGTTTAAGATCAAGGTGAAGTCGTTGTGTATAAAATAAAGGAAGTTCTGATATCAGCATGTAATAGCCAAACGAATGCGTAGAATGCGTTACGATAATGGCCCAGAATGGAAGAGAGGTGAAGATTGCTTTCCAAGGAATCGGTACATCCTAAAAACGTGATAAGCATGACCATAAACGCCAAATAAAACGAAACAACAACCTGATCTTGGTGGGAAGTAGTAATCATACGACTGAATTAACAAACAGGTACATGGATGCATGAATAACTGAATACACGAATAATTGAACCAAACAGAATGCACGCATGCACGTGAACATGAGCGATTGAGCCGCGAACTGGATGGATGGGTGGGTGGGTAAGCAGGTAGATGAATGGATGGACAGATGCAGAAAAGGTGGGATGAACGGATGAATGAACAAGTGGACGAATGGTTAAAAGAGGGAATAGGATTAAACAAAAAAGGTAAGAAAGTAATTAAAGAAACCAGAAATAAGTATAGGTAATCACATGATTTCGAGTGCAATTTGAAATAAATAAACACGAGTAGATTTTTTTCAAATACTAACAAAATTTAAGATCTTTGAAAAATTTTATATGCACTTATTTATTCCAAATTGCACGAGAAAAATCATGTAATTACGTATTGATAATATAAATAATAAAAATACGAGATAGCTTATCATAATTATGCAGAAGCAAAGCGCCCGTATCAAGTGCAAATTTTAAACCCTGCAAGTGACGTTGTGCGTTCGGTCAAAACAACCGCGTACGATCAAAACAATAATATACAATAATACTTTCACATCTATAAGGCGCAAAAAAGTTCAGAGTCGGGTTAAGCAGTTCAAGAAATTGTTCAGTCTAGTTTGTTACTTCTTTGTACTGAATTAACCCTCTTCTGTATTGAATTACCTGAAAAAAAAATTGCAATTATCTTAGCCAATCAGAACTAAGTAATTTTTTCATGTATCTTTCTTACGAATTTTGAATCAGAAGAAAGTGGATGAAATGAGTGAAAAGTCCTCTAAACATTGCTTTTGTTTCCTCACATTCTCTTCATTTTATGCCAAAATTCACAAACATTTTATTTTTTACCTGACTTTGTAAATCTCCTGCTAAGCTAAATTGAATATATTCTGCTTCTTCTCTTGACATCCACCTTTGTTGTGAAGGTGAGTTACTAACCAAACAGAGGCAAAGAATCGACCAGATAAGACCACTACTACCTGTTGAAATAGATTTTATCATTTACATCACTTAGGCGTTTCTATGTCATTAAGAACGTTCCTAAATTTTCGTTTTAATTATTTTTTAAATCTTTATCTTATTCTATTTGCTAATCCATACAGAGCAATTTTTACGAACGAGGTAATCGGTAAATCCGACCGCTGTCGAGAATAAGGTAAAGCATGTATCGTCCTCGACTGGCCATATGCCGTTTGCCACTTCTCGTTTATGACTTCGATTAGCATGAGCAAATTGAAGACTGTTTTGTAAATCTTAAGTGGAATGTTCAATTTGGGACAATTTCTCCAACATCCCGTTTTACGATGAAAATCTATAACAAGAAACGATTGAAACTGATTGAAACAACGTTATTTAATTGAATGACTTACCGAAGACATAGAAAATCCAAGACCAACCAAAATGAAAAGCAATGTATCCAGACAGAAACATGGACATTATTATACCTAAAATACCCCCTACGGAAATAGAGCGAAATCATTTAAATATTCCTTAAGTCTTCAGCGAGACCTAACATAATAATTCCTACTAACCACCGTGTCAGAGGAATCCGCAGAGTAAAGGAGTTAAATTTGGAGCCATGCTTTGCTGCAAATGAGAATCCAACTTTCTTTCAGTTACTAGCGGTGGAAGGGGATGTGTCATTCTTACAGCAACCCAGTAAGGGCAATCGTACCAGCAGTGAAATCGTATTATCATGGGCACCCTTGGATCATCGTTTGGTGTCTCCATATAAAAGCGAGTCAGTCTCTTGTAGCAAAGCAAAGCAAATTGTATAACCTAAGTCTACGTTTTGTACAGCTCTTAACCTATGATTGGCAAATTCGTCGCTCCATTGTCTGCTCCATAGACCCCTTTCTGCTAACAAACATCAGAACACGTCATTCGTTACGTTCATTAGAAAGTGTCCGTGGTTAAACGACTACACCGATCAAAATGTTCGTTTGAAACCACGCGAAGTGGTACTTATACTGTGATATGGGAGATCATCACCATTCGCTCTTAGCGATTTTATCTGTGTTGAATAAAGGCGCATACGCAAGTGGCTCGAAACGATGTCTACCTCTTACGTTTTTTGATGCAACAGGTATTGGAGGGAAGCTCGCGAAAAATATTACCGTATAATAAGTGTGCGTGCGATTGACCATTTCCTACAAAGGGACACCGACAACATTTAGATCGCAGGTTTCACTATTATAAAATGGATCCCTTTCAACTCACCCGCTATGTTTAAAGTTGCCAGTTTACTTCTTTCCAAGGGGGGCGCCCATTTACTCCAAAAAGCGTGACCGGCGGGATAAACAGGACCCTTCACAAATCATAAGAAATGATGAATGATGAGAAAAGTGACGAATTGTATTTGGGAAAAGTGTTATTCCTCATGGGGGACTAACGGGAAGCACAGATATGCGGTTTTTGAAATGCAGACGGAGTGATTAAGGAAAGTTGAACAGTTACTGGCACATTTGGCATCCACCAACCAACTGAACTCTTTCGGTTAAGCATTTTTTAACTTAGCGCCACAGTCAGTAGAGCTGTATCAATTGTCAGGGAAACGAACTATTAACTTCCGGCTGACGTCCTAGTCTCACAGATTCAAGTATTTAAGCTTCTAATAGCCGGCAACCGTATTGTTTTACTTTACAGCTTAACGCAACAAATTCATCCAAGTGTCAACGTGTATAGCTATAGTACAAGCTAATGAAGGGGGGGGGGGGGGGGGGTGGGATTACCTCGGCAAATCCTACAGCAATTCTCAGTGCAATGAACACTCCCACATGGGTCTTTGCAGCAAGAGGTGTGAAAAGGGTAAGGATCCCTGTGGCGCCAACAGACAGACCAAGCAATGTAGCGCCGCCATGTTTTCTTGCCAAATATCCTCCAGGTAAGTGCACAACAATGTAGCCGAAATAGAACGCACTGAGAATGAATCCTGTGAGAAAAGATCAAAGGAAATAATATTCTTACCATGATATCGTTAATAACTCAATCAGCAACCCTCATCGGGCAGAATGTCTATTGTTCTTTCGCTGAAAATTAATCAACATATACATATCGCTTCATATCAAGTCTACGGCAGTTTGATAAACAGCGGGTTTTTTCTATTATTTCTCGTTTAGAATTCGATTATCTTATCGAAAAATACTTTCATCGTAAATAAGGGACAAAATAAAGTATCTGAATCGCTCGAACGCAAGTTTTTTCGAATCGAAAGAAACAAAATACGAACGAAGTAGAGCATACGAACAAATTTGCTATCATAGGATTACAGTGTCCTTCAAGCTTTTTATGCTAGAGCTATCCTTGGACTGGAACTGATCATCAGTGCCATTAACTTCAAAGTAAAACCGGACAGCTATTCGCAACACGACATTCGCAAAAGGATTTTGTCAGAAGAGCTAAATTAAGGGACAACGTCGAAATACGCCTTCAGATCGTGGAATCAAACAAAGAAACAAACGTCAGTTGGTTGGATACATACCTTGAGTTTTAGTTCCCCATGAAAACTCCGCGGGTTCCTAGACTCAAACAAGGCAATTAAAGCTTTGTAAGTTCCAGGTATATTTTCACCGGCTATGAATTTGCAATTCGTATTAATGGGCTGTTGGTCTAGCTTAAACTCATAAAGTGGATGGAAAGGGAAGGGGTTATGGTGTTAGACGGTACAAGAAAATAAAATTTTGTAAAGAGAGGAGCTCGAAAAAGACCTTTTCCGTTTATTGGTTACGACAATCGCCCCAATAACGCAGTTGGAGTGATGAAAAGAAAGTTAAAAATACTCTGCCTTCTTGCCTATGTAATTTATCATAAAAATAAACCGAAAAAATTTGAGTAGATAGAGGCTTAAAATATCAATTTTGTTTGTCAGTCCAATTTGATGGGGCCGTAATAAATGTCGGTCGACGGTATTGGTTAGCCTATGCTTCAGTTGGTGTCAACCATGAAAACATCACTCGTTTCACATTCTAATCGCTTTCTGGTTCATTTGTTCTCTTGGCACTAGATCTGCTGTCATGTCTACTGCATTCCGTGCAACACTCAAATCTTTAATCTTATTAGTAAGTGTTTCTCGTCACAATTTGAAAGACTGAAATTACCTCTATTTCCATGCCACCTTTCATGAGTGTTTGATTACCAACCATAACAGCCAGAGCTACGCTGAGGTTAACTCGCATAGCGTAAACATTCGTAAAGCCAAACATGAGAAAAATCCCGATGACATAGCGTAGTGGAAGACAACACCGGCACGTTTGGGTTACATCTTTGTCGTTTTCTACACCGCCAATACCATGCAGTTTTTGTTCGGTAGAATTCATTGTGAATATGCCTGTTCGGTGCAAACGTATCTTCCTCTCTGTCCCTTAATCCATTTCTGCGGAAGAGGGGTAAAATAAATCTGCTGTTTTTACTTTCTTTCTTCTGAAATACATAAACTAATTCAATAAACCCTGATAGGAAGATAATTTCTTTGGTACTGTATATGCAAATGTTTTTACTCTTTGGTACAATTGGCGGGTAAAAGCAAATGGCGAAGTACTCTTATAACTAACTATCGACTGTCTGAAATGTAAACTACATTGGATCAGTGGCAAACGGAATTTGACATGAGACTCAATCCACTTGCGACTTTAAAATGATACACAGTTAGGCTGGAGTAATTCTCCGTCATCGCAAAACACCTGGCTCGACCTGGTCCAATTGTTTCGCATGAACGATAAGTACCAAGGAAATGAGGAATTAGCTTTGTAGCAAGCTTTCCGTATAAGGACTTCATTGATCGAACGTGTTCGTGGTCAGTTACCTGGAATTTAGTGGCGTCTAATGTTCTTATGTGTTCCAAGTTTAATTGCGGCCACTGTTGGTAAGAGAATTGTAATTACCAAAACCCAGAAAATATGCAAAAAAATTGTTAGGACTGATTTAATTGCATCATTTATTCAGCAGGAACTGAACCATAAAACAATTATCAGGAACACCCGATGGGAATATTTGATTCTCCCATTGTTTGAGCTGATTTTTGATTCGATTGTGGATAAAGACCCTTTTGGTTAAGGAGACATGTTAGTGACTAAAAGCAAAACCAACATAAAAAAAAAGACAAATATTTAACTATAAAAAAATTGCGATAAAATACTTCGTAAAACCATTACAATACATTTTAAAAGCTTAAATAAGGTAGTCGACGACGTTTCGACGTTAACGCAATGTCATCATCACCGATCAAGTCAAAAAATAATAAAATTATTCGGCTAGAAATTCTAAAAACAACAATTGGTACTGATTAAATTTTTAACGAAGGTAGACAACTTACAGCTAAACAAAAAGTTTTGCACGAAAAGAGTCCACTTACACGATCAACTTTGGGTTTGAGAGTTTTTTAATGAAAAGCATTCAAAATACTTTTTTGACTGTTCTATCTCTATAATATTGTATTTAATTTTACTTATTGATATCTGTATTTGTATTAGTATTATCATATGTATTGTATGAGGCACACAAGTTTATCTGCCTTCAGGCTATTAAGTGCTAACCTCTTTACATAAAGAGTTTACCTACGTACTTACTTACTAATACTAAACAAAACGTACTTTATCATTTCCTAAGAATCTGAAAAAGGCTTTTATTAAAATCACTTACACCGTGCATAAATAAGTAAATAAATAAATAAAGCAAACAGATTTCATGTTTCCATGTGTCTGTCCAGTAATAGATCACAGATGTGCTAAGAACATCTTTAACACACTTGGCTGCATCTCATCTCGTCCAACATTTCTGTTCCTACCACATTTTGACGTCATCCGGGACCTACTACTGAACAGGCGCATGGCAACATGGAATGTACTTGCAAATATAGACGGTGAGTGTGACGAAACGTACCTCTTAAAAAAATCGAGTGGAAATTCCAGTTATCTGAGGGTGCTCAGTACAACTTGTTTTCCTTTTGTGTTTTTGTGGCTATTGCCGCGTTATAGGAGGCAAAGCCCCATACGTTATTGAGATGAGTGATGGTAAGTAACGGTAGAAGCCGAACTTCACCCGACTTTGACCCGATGTCACTTACTGTTTTTTCAGTTCTTGCTGTAACACTGGAAAAGATGG